GCTTACGCCAGTTTAATAAGACAGCTCCCACTTTTCTGACACCTTCAAACACTGTTCAGCTTTACCTTTGCTACCGACATGCCAATGTGTTGTTGTAATAATGAACTGAGATTTCCTTAATCTATGTAGAATGATAATGTACTAACTGGATGCAATACTGTGGTAAAAATGCTGAGAATTCCATTCTGTATCACAAATACTGTTTTGGAATAAAGCAAATTATTATTATTAAAAAAAAGCTATCAATCGATGACGTCTCGGATCACTGTTTGCTTTTTCTTAATCGAGTAGGTTTCTGTGATCACAATTACAAAAACACAATTTGAATCAGTAGATGAAGACTCTACACGATTTGCTCCGAAACCATCCAGACTATTGATGTAGACGCATGCATCACACTTGCTGCTAACCTTGTTGTAGAACAGTGGAGTTTTTGAAAATTCTTCCCCTGTTTCCATGTCTCGCTCCCTCTCTTTATTATTTGAAATAACTTTTCAGTTTGCTGTTGGTTGATTTTATTCAACAGGAATTCTGAAATTCTGTTCAAACGTTTGCTCCTAGTACGAAGGATTCGAAAATTCTTCAAGATTTATTTTATTTTTATTTATTTTGATTTACAGCTTGACGCCACACCGTATTTTCAGTACAAGTATGGAATTTTCAGCATGGATATCGGTAGCCCAAATTTTGCAGGCCGACCATAGATATCGGGTGTGCGTCGGCAGGGAATCGAACCCCGGACCATGTGCATGGTCGGCGAAAGTCCTAACCACTGTGCCACCGTCGCACATGTTATTTGGCTGGCTGGTGGTGTAAACGTGACTCCAGTCTTCATCCTAATTTCACACTGTTAGTACAAAGTAAATATCTTTGTTAGCCATGGAGTTATGATTGACGCATGAACCGATATAACAACCTGACTCATTTATTTTTCAGGATCTGCAGAGTCATGCAATTCATGAGATATTGGTCATCTATTTATGGTTTGAATTTCCGTTGATGTGTCAACGACAGATACATTCTGTCTTATAAATAATAAACGTTGTTGTTGTTGTTTTCGCGGTTGTCACAGTTGAATCTGACTTTTGTGTCCATCTCAGTGGGGGGAAGGGGAATATTTTCAAGTGATCAGATGGCGATGTCAAATGGCGAGAAAGAATCAGCAACAGGATACTCTGGGAACGAACTAACCAAGAACCTATTACTCAAAAAATATCCTTAAGTAAATGGAGATAGATTGTTCACATGCCATTGAGGAGGCTGTAGGGTTACATCGCGCGGCAAGCCATAGGCTGAGTGGAAGCCAAATGGGAGATGATGCGTTGAGCGTTGGTCCCAGGGTGACATGGAGGAGATCATGTAAGGAAGTGAGAGGTTATGGGCAATCGTGGGGACAGCCGAAGAGGACCCCAGAGAATGGGTCAAAGTGGAGATGTGCTGTTGAAACCCCATGTTCCACTTGGAATCCAAAAGAACAATAATAGTGTTATGATATTTATTGGCGGCCTGCTTAATACTTGGACTAGCAAAACTCCCATCTCTCGTTATTGCATATAAATTCTGTCGTTCGGTTTGTTTTAATCGATCTAGATGTGACTTCTATTTGGTATTATCTACTCTTGTGTGTATTTAAAATGTTTACAAGCTTCTGATTTGCAAGTTACAACTAAACTTGAGAAAACGCCTGACTGTGGGTGGCAACATGTTGCAATATATGAGATTAGTGTTCTTCTCTTAAGTCCTTCGGTATCAAAATGTACTTCTGAACATCTTACAACTGGCTTTCAAGTGTATATTGTGGATTTCCTGAAGGAGAAAAAGCAGATCTATATCATAATGGAATGTGGTTTGTGCTTTATCAGCTCAGAGACCATTGTGTCACACACAGGATATACTGCCAATTAATATTTCACTTGGAAATATTGACTGTGTGAAGGAAAAATATCATGCAATAAACTCCTCTGAAAATTCTGTACATTATATGAATACTCTCCAGAATAAAGCTATTATTATTATTTATTGAGTGGTATGTTTGATCAATATCAACATGTCAAACGATTGCAAATTTCTCTGACATTCTGTGTTTCCTTTGTCTAGCTTAACTGATGTTCATATCTGTCCAGGTGAAATAATGCAAGCGAAGGCATGTCATATGCTTTGACTATTGTTCCAGTTCATGGAAAATTTCCAAAGCTCATTTTCTGCTAAAGTTACCACTAAAGATGTTGTCTGGAAAGATAATGAAAGTAACGAAATTAAGCAACCTAAGACCTCAGGAAACATAACAACAACAACAAAAGCACTCACTTGGATCATAAATCTCCACTGTTTCAGAGTATTTGCTCTTCATCGTTTCTAACTAACCACGTAGGGGATAGTATAAGTCAGTAGATGAGGGTAATCCTGGCTCACATAAGAATAAGTTAGGAAAAGAGTTGTGGGTGGTCAAACGAAATTCTGGCCTCAGTCCATGAAGTCTGAGCCACGTAGGGAGATATAGATCACTTGCTTGCGGTCCTCCAGATATTAGGATGTCTGAGGATTACTAATGATATGGCTTACAATCGTTCTAAATGGCGCAGATGTATTTAATATCTACTATCCCCCCAAGTTGGCAGAAGAAGCATCAAAGACAGGACTTCAGGTGAACATAGAGAAAAAAGAGGTAATGAAGATTCCTGGACAAGAACAACAACAACAGACAACGATCAGCATAAATGGGAGGAACCTCTTTTACTTACCTGGGAAGCATCGTTTCAACTACAGGCAGACGGAACTGACGAGGATATCTAAGCAATGATCGGGAAAGCAAGACAAGCTTTCACTACTCTCAAGTCTGTGTGGAGGTCAACAGCACTCAGCACGAAAATAAGATCCGGATTTTCAACTCCAATGTGAAGTCAATGACACTTACTATACGGATCAGAGACTTGCACTGCGCGTCATAAAGAGCATCTCAAACAAACTACAGACCTGCATTAACAGTTGTCTTCGCTCAATACTCAAGATCAGATGGCCAGAAAAGATCAGCAACAGGGATCTCTGGGAGCGAACCAACCCAGCAGGAACCGATTGTGAAACAAATAGGCAGGAAGAAATGGAGATGGATTGGCTGGCCATACTCTGAGGAAACCATCAAGTGACATCACTAGACAAGCCATTGAGTGGAACCCGAAAGGGAAGCGGCGAGTTGGTCGTAAGTGCGACGGTGACTTGGAAGAGGTGATGTGAAGAGGAGATGAAAATGTGTGGGCAGACTTGGAGCCAGGTAAAGACTTTAGCAGAGAACCGAACGCATTGGAGACGGGTGGCTGAAGCCCTATGTTCCTCTAGGAATTAAAGGAAACAACAATAATAATAAATCCCCCATATCCAATAAACCGTCGTGTGTCCGTATTACCGTTTTGTCTCCCATACATTTCATGTCATTATTAACCCTTGTGAATCTGTTTTCTCTCTCCTTCCTCTGCCTTTATGTGTTGCATGAAGTGTAGTAACGCGATTCACTACACTTCAGTGCTATGTTCTACGCTGGAACTCAGTCAGTCAGGTCAGCTGTGAGTCTGCAACACTTGAAAAACAAAACCATAGAGAAACCACACATATATCATCCACAAATCATCCTACTTGTCATTTTAAATCAATTTCTGCAACGTTAAATTCGTTGTTTTCTAATTTCACACAATACTTCGCAGGATTTTGTGATTTCCACTTCATGATCCGTATCAAAGTGATGCCTGGTAATAGCACTATTGTAAGCGTTTTCATCCCTTGAGACCTATGCTTTCCTGTACATGTTGAGAAAATCGGAGGTATGACCATTTTTCTGCTCTCCCAATGTAAATAACTGCTTCCACAGGTACACGTCAGTTTGTATACAGAGTTAGAGTTGACATGAGAATCGGATCTGTCGACTTTTGAATGCACTAAATAGCATGTTTTCCGATGGACGGGAACCAGTTTAACTGCAGGACCGGCTCTGACTAGTGACGTACTCAATCTTCTGTAGACCATTGCTGCGAACTTTTCATCGTCTTTAAAATCGAGTTAACATAGTCTCTCTTTCCACAGTGATTTGTTAGATGTATTAGCCTTCATATCTTCCATATTTGTCAATGAATCTCTGAAGGTAACCATTGTTTCTCAACATCTTTTCGAGAATCATAGATGCTTCCTCTAATATCCCTTCATAGCGTATTCTCCCAGCTCTATAATAGAGAGTTTTGATTATTGCACGTTGAAACCTATTCGGACAAAACTATTAAAATGTATGTATATTGACCTCTGGAGACCACTGTCTGCTAAGCGTTACATGACAATTTCAAGGAAATGGAATTTTCCATCACTTTCATTTTCCACATTAATTTCAATATCTGTAGGTGCCTCGTTAAATAATCTTAAATAGGTGGGAAGCATGACTTCCATTGTCGCACACTACATATATTTCATCGAAATATGGACAGTAAGAATTTTTTCGTCAGTTGCATGCTTCATCTTTCCTGCTGCAAGGTTGAACATGAAGATATCTGCTAAAACAGGGCTGAGTGGACTGCCCATAGCTATATCATGTATTTGGCGCCAAAAAGTGTTGTCAAAATGGAAATGCACATCCATGGTAAGCATTAACAGTAGCGTTTGAATCCCGACTCGAGTGTTGGAGGTACTCAGGCTGCTGAAAATGATCTCGACATTTTCATTGATTGAGATCCTTTTCTGTAGATAAACTTAGGCTGTAAGCAGCTGATGAGGCGAAAACGAAATAATCAATGGCACCATTTTGCCTTCTGAATCTGTTTTCTCTCTCTTTCTCCTGTCTTCATGTGCTACATGAAGTGTGATAACGCGACCCACTACACTTCAGTGCTATGTTCTACGTTGAAACTCAGACATTCAGGTCTGTTATGAGTATACAGCATTTCAGAAATAGAACTACAGAAAAACAGCATAATTTACAGATTTATTTACTTCTTTTTTATACACATATATACATCATACACAAATCATATCAGTGGAGGAACGTCAGAACAGTCAAGCATACAGTCATCTACTTGATTTTCACTTTTAGATTTTCGCTTTTCTTGTTGACCACACGATTTAATGAGACCGGATGAAGTATTACCACTGACTCTTTGATTAACTTGATTGTTTATCGACTGGTTTTCTAGGTCAAGAAGAGCACTAGAGTATTTTGATGCAACTGTTGACTTTACATTTGACTGGTCACTTACACTTTCATTACATTGCTTTCTTCTAAAAGTTAAATGAAACAAATAACTAGAATATGGATTTCATACAAAAAGGGGGAGGAATTATTTTTCTTTGTTTGGATGGAGGATTTCATCATGAGCTGACATCAGTTAGAGAATCACTGGAAAACCTGCAGGTAGTGCTGGACAGCTGTTTCGTCAGTCTAGTTTGTGACTCTTCGGCAATTCCAGTGGGAAGCCGTGACCAGTAGGGGACAACAGGTTGAAGATGAGGACAGTTACTCATCGAAGAAGACATTGCGAAATGGTCACGCTATGTCGTGAATTGGTAGAAGTTAGAATTCATTGGCTGGCCACTGGATCAGGTCCCAGTGGCTCAATGGTCTACGAGCTCGCTAGCCTAGTAACCGGAAGGTCCTGGGTTCGAACCCCCGTGGGTTCGTACTAATGAAGAGTCCCAAAACAGGACGAAACAGATGTCCGGCATTCCCTGCAGGTTTTCAATGTTTCTCTAACTGATGTCAACTCATGATGAAGTTCTCCATGCAATCGAACAAAATTCCTACAATACCAATACTTGAGAATTATTTTTCCGCCAATAAAATCTAATGAAAGGGAGGAGGCTTAAAATTATTATCCTTGAGTTTCTCAGTGGAAACACCATTACTCACTGGAGAATGCAGGCAGATCAAGGTGAAGAGTCTTAAATATGATGAAATGCTTCTTCTGAATTCTACCACTAGCCCCCATCAATCAAATAACATCGTTCTGAAATTAAACTATCGTCAAAGCATTTGTATTAGGTGTCATGTCGACAGAAACAGGTGATAGCCACTGCAGAAGGAGTGGCTCTCGTAGCCTGGTGAATAGCACCTCGAAGTTCAGAACAATAGATTCTGGTTTCGATACTCATTGAGGACACCACCGCTTACTGAGGATGCTATCCCGTCCAAACGACGAGTCTAAAAATAGAATGAATCCAGAGTCTTCGATTCCACTACTTGCGACTATCCTCTTTTCCCTTCCCTTTAGTCTTTGAGTAAAGATAAGAGTTCAAGCTTGAGCTGCGAGGTCCCTGTAGCAATATTGTATTTTCATTTTGCGTGTTGAGATTACTAGCACTACATACAACCTAAGAAACCGAGCAGTAGCACTAAGTAGTACAAAAAAGACCTAAATGATGCAATGAAACAGATAGGAGAAGCGTTGGTATCAAATAACTATCATATAAAATTCATTAGGAATATCAAAAAAGGTAAAAAGCAAAATAAAAATAATGGTGAAACTTATAATGATAACATAAATAAGAGAGAATATAAGGCATCTACAGTTCTACCGAATAGGGAAGGGGCATCTGAGACCTTCCCTATGTAGGATTCTTAATAAAGCTGGAATTAGAGTGGCATTCAAACCTACAAACTTACTCAGATAGGAAAAGCTCTGTAGGTTAAAGGACCCTGTTGATTCACTTAGACAAACTAATATAATTTACAGAATGCCTTGCAATGACTGTGGTAAACTTTATAGGTCAAACTAATAGATCAGCAGTAGTGAGATTGTCAGAAAATAAGAATTTCGTTAAGGTTAGAATGATTGAACCCACGAAGATGAGTAATTTAGAAAAAAGTTCAGCAATAGCACTGCATGCATTAACACACAACCACACAATAGGGTGACTGGGACAGAGTTAAAATTCTAAGAAGTTATGTACATAGATGGAAATAGATAAAGATTGATTACTGAATCCTGCCTGGTTCATCGAGTCTACACCCAACGCGTACAACAGGAATGACTCATCACTCATACCGGAAATATGGAAAACACCGCTACCAATCAAGTCAAGCGATGAAAAATAGTAGAATCATACAAAAGAAGTTAGAAAGTTGTGTGATTACTGCCTTGATATGATTATGAGCAATAATTTGTGCTCGAAACGTGGTCATCAGTAAATATTACTGTATAACACTGTGTGACTTATCAAAATAAACTTTTATCCATAATGAAATTAAACTCTACTACAGTGCACAAGTTATATTCTTATACCAATGACTACACCCAACCTCCTCTGTTTTCTGGGCTGACGACTGCTGCTGCTGCTGCTGGATTCAACATAGAACTTGGCACCGAGGTGCAGCAGTTCGAGTTGCCACGTTCCAAATAGCACACAAAGGTAGACAGGAAAATGAGAGAAGAGAATCAATAGAATTTAGATAAGTATAAGAGTGAAACAGAATGAGTAATGGTAGAAAGGAATATGAAAGATTATAGAGACTGAATATATCTGCGCCACTGACAACGATTTTGAGCCATGTCACCTATCGTCTCCAGCCATTGATTCTTAGAGTCCCGAGGGCCCCAACCCGGAAGTCTTCATCTCCCTACCTGACTCAGTTTAACTGTCAGGGATTTCATGGATTGATGAGGCCATGTTTTTGTTTGGCCACCACTTACTCTTTTCCAACCTGCACCTATATCAGCTAGTAATGCCCGTCGGGGGAGGCGATGGTTAGGCATGTGCAGCACGTGACCTAACCATCTCAATCTATGACGACTGGGTAAGCGAGGTTTAGGGGTGTGTCATCTGGGAATCGAACTCCAATCTCCCACATGGCTGGTGAGCATACATACCACTATTCAACGAGAATTAATCGAATAATATCATGAAACCAGCTTCTCTAATGGCTTATTCCAAGTTACCTTAACATCAGTAGTTACCACTGAGTTTTGTATCTCACTATGAACTATGCATTTCACTACTGTATTAAAATTCTCGAATCCCCTAAAAGATTTCTATTCAGGGTTTTGTTTTGTTCATTTTGTCGTAGAATAATTTATTTGTCACTAATTTAGACTTACAGTCGGTGATGTCCTTTGAAAAAGTGCTTTAGGATTTATGTGTGTATGTATGTATTTATGGGTGTGTGTATCAGTGTGGATGTTAAATTCCAATGGATGTTTAAATAATTACTTCACAAATATATTACTTTCAAATCAAGATCTTATGCATTTCAGATCGAAATCCTCTCTCTCTACATCCATACGTGAATATTATTATAATATTATTATTGTTCCCTTGGGTTCCTAGTGGAACATAGGGCTTCAAATGCACGCCTCCACTTGCTTCTGTCTTCTGCTGCAGTTTTCACCTGCATCCATATTAGTCCATACTGTTTCAACTCATCTTCACACGATCTCCTCCATGTCACCCTTGGACGTCCAACTCGCCGCTTCCCTTTCAGGTTCCACTCGAGCGATGGCCTGACCCGCGATGTCACCCAACGGCCTCCTCAGCGAGTGTCCAATCCATCTCCACTTTCTCCTGCATATTTGTTAGGCGATTGGTTCTTGTCTCGTTTGTTCCCATAGTTTCTTGTTGGTGATTGTTTTCGGCCATCTGATCTTGAGTATAGAGCGAAGACAGTTGTTGATAAAGGTCTGCAACAGGCTGTTGGAAATATTCTTTGTGACCCGCCAAGTTTCTGATACGTATAGAAGAACTGACTGACTTGACGTTTGTATTGAAAAATCCGAATTTTGTTGTTGATGCTGAGTGACGAAGATTTCCAGATGGGTTTCATGTTGATGAAGGTGTTTCTCGCCTTCCCGATTCTCAATCTATGCGTGAATAATCAACACAAATGGTTAATTGTAATGGCAGTGAGAAATCTTGTTGGACACGTCTGACGCAAGATTAATTTCGAGATTTTGTACATTTTTTGACTGGTCAATAGATTTACATACTTCTATTAATAACGTGTGAAGTATACGTGAGAACATTTTTAAATTTGTGATTTATCCACACATATTTTGGTTAGTTATGGTACAAAACAGATCACAGATTTTGATCTCAAGATATTTGATTTCCATAAGAAACTGTGGTGAATCCTCCTACAGAACTGTGTAATTTTTACAATAGTGAATACGACGGTGAATGTTAACGTTTCATCTGAATAGCTAGCTAGAATTCGAGTCTCTGAGCTACCAGTCAAACTGTATTTATTGTTAATGAGCTCTGTTGTAAACTAGCGAAATGGCCGCCTGTGTGTAGGTAATCTCTATCTAGCTAACAAGTACTACCACTACTAGACTTTAATGGTTCCCAACCACTCATATAAGTTAGAAATATATCCCATTATGCTAGTTTAAAAGTTGGACAATTATGCTAAGATAAGAACAGTATTAGTTAGCTAAGTATATTTTCGAAAGATTGCCATCAGAACCTAGTTAGTTTATTATACGAAGCACGTTAACTGAAGCCATCAATATGTTACCAAACCAGAAATAAATTACCGAAACTATTGAAAACAGGATGAGATCAGCTTAGTACTGTCATCTGGACAGTTTAACCAGTATGATTACAGGCTTTCATCATGAACTGACATTGGTTACAGAACCACTGGAAAACCAACAAGGGAGTACTGGACAGCTGTTTCGTCTTATTTTGTGGCTCTTCATCAGTACGCAGCCACCACAGGGGTTCGAACCCAGTACCTTCTGGTTACAAGGCTAGCGAGCTCGTAGACCATTAAGCCACTGTGACCCAATCCAACGGCCCATGAATTCTAATTTCTGCTAATTCACGACATAGCGCAACCACCAGCCAATGTCTTCGGCGAGTATTTGTCCCGGATCGGGTGGCAGTGGCTTAATGGTCTACGAGCCCGCTTACCTTGGAACCAGAAGGTCCTTCCTTCGAACCCCTGTGGTGGGTGCCTACTGCTGAAGAGTCTCAAAACTAAGCTGACAAAACAGCTGTCCAGTACTCCTTTGATGGTTTTCCAATGGTTCCCTAACCAATGTCAGTTCATGATGAAATCATGTAACCAGTCAACCAAATCCCTACATACCAATACTTGGATATTAACCAATGTGAGTTGTCAGTTAAACCGAATATTCACTTCATATTATCGTTTCCACATATTACTCTCCAATAATAGTTAAAAGTGATATCTCCCTGCTACTAGAACTCAGTTACGCAGTATAGATTTCTCATGTACCACACCCATTGTCCCGTGATGGAGGGAAAGGGTTGATAATACTACTCTAATCCAAAGGTTAAAGTAGATAAAGCACAATTCAAATGCTCCGTACTGATAATTAGAAGCGCCAGTACAATTCTTCTTCTCCGTGTTCGACTGAACTTTCGTTTCTTTGCTTTTGCGTACTCGAATTTCCTGAAAAGCCTACAAATAATAAGAAGCATAATCGAAATTATAATATATCCACCTATTAATGTTAAAACTTTTTAAAACATTTAACGTAAGGTAAATGAATGCATATAATGAATTGGACGGACGCTGAAGGCAACTTTGATTACCGTCACAAACTGGCAAAGCCTTAGAGTAGGAACCAAATAGGAAACGATAAGTTAGGCGTAGGTCCTAGGGTAAAATGGAGAAGATCGTGTGAGAAGAGTATGACAGCGTATGAACAATCATGAAGCCAACAAAATAGGACTTCAGAGAATAAGATGAAGTGGAGATGTGCCGCTAAAGCCTTATTTTACTACTCGGAAACCAAAGTAATAATCACAATAGTGGTTGGTAATCATAATAGCAGTAATAATTAATGTTCCTCTCAGTGAAACTATTTGCTTTATATACACATTTATCAACGGCAATAATCTGGACATGGGTGTTCATATCTACTACCCAAAGGAACTACTGCTGGGATGCACCTTCAATGTCCAGTTCAAGTTCAGCAACACGCCGAATAGACAAAGAGATGGAGTGGCAATGGCGTTGCCATCGGATCATTTACTTGCAGACTGCTTCTTCGCAAGTCTAGAGAATAGTATGTCACGACACACTATCGATAGTTTTCACATGCACCATGCATCTGATCTAAACGTATCCCTGAACATTATCCGGCGTGGTTAGCAAAAGGACAATGCAAGATTGTTACTAGGTCAATTCTCAAGCGCTTGATGAACTCAAGACATGCAGTTCCACCACAGTCGTATTTCAAGATTATCTACAAAATATGGTCAAATGCTATAGAGGGTGTCAGGTTTTGGCATTTGTGTATGGCGGAGGCATTGGCAATTCATCACTACAACCTCAAACACTGTACACAGAAAAAGTTTATCGAGTCTCTTATTCTACTATGGTCTTAACCTCTTCATTAGTCGTTCCCTGTAAGTTTTTTTTTATTTTCAGTGATTATTTTGCTTTCAGTTCAATAATTAATTCACCATTATTGCTCTCACATGTTCCTTTTGTACATTTTCTCATCCTCTTCACACTGGTTAAATGGATACTCAGCTACCTGTCTTCTTACTCAACAGCAATTTTAACCTTATCAAATTTTTAACGCTTTCTTCCTTTGTGCTGTTGAGTATTACATAATTTACAGGTCTTATTTTTACTTTTCAAGCCACTTCTGAGTAATTATATCAACTGTGTCACCCCCCCTTGGTACTCAGTAATAGACTGGTATACATTTTGGTAAATATAAATACGATTGTACTGCCTCTGAAGGTGATTTCATCAATATAGAAAATTTTCTTTGCTGAATTGTCTTTAAGGGAAAGCGTATTTCCTGTTTGAAAGATCGAAAAATGAAACATCAAAATTACGTTTTAACAGAAATCATTTTTCAGTAAATGTGTTCAATGGTGTTGATAATAGGGATGGTAGACCTTGATAACTCAAATAGTGAACTCTTACAAGATTGTTTTGGCGTGAAACACTTGTTGTATAATTCCAATGCCCTTGTAGGATAAACCACCATGTCTGGCTACTTTACTGTGTATCTATAAATTTAACTACTTTTGTAGAGGCAATTATAAAAGAAGAACACTCTGACAATCCTAGAGTTTCTTTCTTTAGCACTGTAAATGCCGTTAGAAAAAGGAACAGTTAGGTCGACCAGGAATTCCACACTGGGTCACCTAGTAGAAACAGAACAAAAGCCTTTATCATTCAATACAAGTGCCTAGGCAATTCTTCGACTTTCTACGCTAATGACTCCTGAGCATAACTAAGACAATTACTATTTAAAAAATTCTAAATTAATCTGTGTTCAAAGAGTTTGTCTATTCCCTCTCTTTCTCACGGCCTTTATTTCCAGCCTAGAATATTACTCCGTAACTATGGCAACGGAAAACTGTAAATATTATTTTTATTTGTACTTTGATTTTTATTACAATTGTAATTTTAAATTCTATTCTTAGATACAAAATTTATTAAAAAACCAGCCAGCATTATCTAGTCGTTATGAGAAAGTGGTTATGACGCGAATCAACTGGCGATTCTAGCGCTGAATTCAAATTTCAAATTAAGTACCAAAAACAAATAACAAATTTATTTAAAGATTGATTTTCTACCTACCAAATGGCCTTCAACATCTAATCAATGGTCATAATAATAATAACCGAAAGTTAAACTTTTGAATCTGATTACCTTTGGCATAGTGATTAACAAATGTCCAGTTGTCTGTGAACGCTTAACAGATGAATTATCCGGACTAACATCTTCTGGTAAAGCCAGCTGTAAAATCTGAATGTAGAGAGAGAAAAAAAGACAAATTCAAAACAAGAAAAGGCATTTGTGATTGGTTCCAGTACAGATCATGAACTGACTACAGTCAGACAGCCAGTGAAAACTAGACAGTACTGACTGGAGACCTTCAAGTTGCGAGGTTAGCCTACTGACTCCACACCGTATTTTTGGTACAAGTATGGAATTCTCAGCATGTGAAATCGGTAGCACAGTTTTGCAGGCCGACCATTGATATCGGGTGTGCATGGTCGGCGAGAGTCCCAACCGCTGTGCCACCGACGCACACATGTCAGAACAGTGTATATTAGTGACAATATTTTGTAAGTAGTATCTTGTTCGTGTTGTCTTATGCAAGAATATTAAATACAGGAGTTAGGAAGAAAAGAAATAGGAGGTCCTTGGGGAAGCATATATAGAAATCATGAAAGAAAGGCAAAAGAAGTGAAGTACGAAGGAAATATACAACTGGAGAATTCAATGTAGGATATATGTACTTAGCCTTATTTGTACATCATTTTACCGGATAAATAATTCTGCTACCCAATACTGCTGTATTCTGTCATTGTAACATGACTATAAGATCAAATATCGGGTCGATGAGAGGATCATAAGGAAATCTACTGGGACAATTAATCAAAGATAACTAGACGAATACACACAAATATCATAAACTATCTTAACTATTACTATTAAATAGTCTGTAAAAGTATCACTAGTAGCATGATATTTACTGGATTGTATTTATTATAATGCAGACACATTGTAGACATCTGGAAATCGGCTGAACTCAGCATAGGAAACAACACCCATGTCAAATCGCTTCTTTTTTATGGTCCAGCAACTTGGTGCGTCACTAAAAGCACCTCCAACAGGCCACTAAAGACTTTCATCTACAGCTACCCTTTTCATTAAGTACTGAAAACCAGACGTCCGGGAGAGCAGAGAACCAATCAAGAACTTACTACCCATCATATAGGCAGAAATAAATGGAGATTGATTGAACGTACTCATAGGAGACTTTGAAAAGACATCACACACCATCAAAGCCTTCGAGTGGAAGGATATTGAGGAGGAATCACTTGCGGGTGTGGGTTCGACTGTGAAGTGGGTGATGATATCAAGAGAAAGCGGACAATCGTGGAATCAGTTAAAAAAAATAATTCAAAGAACAGGATAAAGTTGAGATGTGTTGCTGAAGCCCTATGTTCCACTCGAGACCCATGGGAACAGTAATAATAGTTAGATAACAGCGAAATTATTAAATTACCTAGTTTTAAAATAACTTTGACCACATACAAAGATAATAGTAAACAAAATTATTCCTCTGTTAACTATCATACCTTTTTATTGAGTGTAACACGAACATAATTGGTTTGTATATCACAGTCAATTAAAGCTGTATCCATATACCTAAAAAAACAAAAAGGGCCACAATGAAAGAGAACAAACATCCATCCAATCTTACGTGCACATCGGCGCATTAAAAATTTCAAAAACAAAAATAAAAACCTCTTGAATTAGTGGATAAGATAAGTACATACTACTAAAATATGCAATAATGAGTAGTGAGGATAAAAGTTCTTTCCATCTAGAACAATTTGAAGTCAACTAGTAATAGGGAAAATGAATCTAAATCCAGAGATTCTGGCTGATTACTTCGGACCATCTAAGATGAATTCAGAGTGGACTATGACAGCGAGTCCCCGAGCTTGGTGACAAAACTGTAACTTCTGCTGACGGAATTCAACCAATAACAACACTTAGAACAAGACTGAATAACAATGATCACTTCTCAGTGACCTCCTATAGAAGTCAACCAGCAGGCACTAGATAGAAAATAAGGGTAAGCTATATTTGAGAGGTTTTCTACCTGTCAACTGCAAACATATTAAAAGCTTTATAGATTAGCCCGTATGTGAAACCTTAACATAGTGTATTAATGGAAATACGGCAGAGTAAGGCCAAACACTTTCGAATGACATAAGATAAGTGGATTACATAAATACCAAATTCGTTATGGCACATAGTACAGATAAATATTGGCATCTCCACACCACTTAATTCAACCGGGCTGAAGTAATCCAAATACCGAATGCTCCTTTCGCTAGTTTTAGGCCAAGGTTATCAACGGTGTACTGGGTTTGATTAAAGCTCAGACAACCAAATGAGTTCAGTAAAGATTCATTCCTCCAATCATAGTAAATAGGAATGCAAACGGAAATTCACTATCCTTGTTTTATTAAAGTCCATTGAAAATAAACAAGTTATCTAAGGCTTTTATTTTAATAGCTCTAGAAGCAGTCAACAGGGCAACATTTTTATAATATGTTTTATATATTACTTATAAGTAACCAGGAATTTTAGGCATAAATTTTCCCTTATCTATGAGTTCAGTTACTCACAAGTTTCCACATCGACTTCATCCATTTCACTATTTTAGAATTTAGATTCATCATAAGTATAAAGTGTAAGTGTGCGTTAATAATTCATTGGTATGATACATGCCAAGCACTCGTATCGTTCGATTTTGATTCATATTCAACGCACTCCTAAAACTTGCTTAGCTAGTACTAAGCTCTGTAAAAAGGAAAAACTGGAAGTGAGGCTATCAACACTACTGGTATTACCACTTTAAAGAGCAAGCTCAAAACCATATTTTTCTAACAGAACTCAAGGAAACTAAAAAACGCAGTGTAAGTAAACCATGTTAACACAGGAAATTTTTCACACTTAAATCTATTGTCATTCAAGTGTATTCAGGTAAATCTAATACGTTGTTTCGCCAGTGTTTTACGCCCAGTGGAGGTCACCAAGAAGGTAACTGTGCAACCTTGAAAGCTGATGCTAGCAACTACTGCCAACTGGAAGTCTTAAACCTGTTTTACCCAGACCTGTGGTTTGAAACTTTACCATTAACCTACTAGATGAGGGAAATTTACTGATCACTGGGGATTAACTAATATTAAAATGACTAGATCTAAGTGCTCCTAGCCACTCCAGAATTATCGAAAGTATATAATGACGCTACATCCCTCACGTTGATAACTATATCGCAAACCTGTTTGATAGAAAGTCAATCAACATTGGTCAGGAGCAGAAAGGTTCCAAAATGGAGAGGAACATAACTTCTCGATGCTACAGCTAACCTCTGTCAACCAAATAATCCCATGACAATCTCATGGCATCTCTGATGCATCCATACTACACGCCGATACGTCAACAGAAAAAGTGAATTCCAGCAGGGTAAAAATACTCAAAGGTAAATTCAAAACAATTCCAATAAACTGAAAACACTATGATTCGATAAGGAATAATTTCTGGTTCATTGGTTTGATTCATTCACCTTTCAGCCATTCGCTCCTGGATTAGAATCTCGCTTCATCCTACTATTCACTATTGGCGACTGAGTAATATCACCAATCTTGCTTTTTAAAATAACACATCTACTTTTGACACTATATTCAGGCTTCTTTTGTTAAATAAGCTTGATGTGATGCAGACTGGGTGCTGGCTTGATAAACGGCTGTACATTTATTTCTCTGATTAGAAACAGTGCACTGCATATAATGGAAAGTCTTACACCGCTTTATTTACTCCAGCTGGTGTTCCTCAGGGTGTTGTTTCTTTCTCCTTTTCTGTTTCCTTTCTTCTCACTTGACTTGATTAATTCTGATGAAGTTGGTTTTCAAGTGTTGGTTTGTAGGGATTTGATTGGTTACAGGATTTCATCATGAGCTGACATTAGTTAGAGAACCATTGGAAAACCTGGGAGTACTGGACAGCTGTTTCGTCCTAGTTTGGGACTCTTCATCAGTACGCACCCACCGTTGCCTTCTGGTTTACAAAGCGAGCTTGTATACCATTAAGCCACTGGGACCCGATCCAATTGCCCATGAATTCTAACTACTGCCAATTCACAAAATAGAGCGACCCCTAACCAATGTCTTCGGCGAGTATTTGTTCTCACACCTGACCTGCTGCACCCTACTGGTCACGACTTCTCACTAGTTTGGTTTTGTTAAGTATTCCGATGATCTGACTGTTTTGCATGCCGGTCACATTTCAGTCAAACTGTTCTACACTTAATAATTTTTTACCAGAAATAAGTTGGTGACCTTAAACTGAATCTCTCCAGATGTCAGATTGTAAATTTAACTTTCAGATACAAGCGTTATTTACATGAATTGGTTCGTTTCTATGATTCTTTTTTCATAGAAGATAGCGAAGCTGAAATTAAGTCGAATTTTAAATACCTTTGATTGTGTACTTTCTCTGATCTCTCCTGATCATCCGTTATCGCGTTAATTTCTTAGAAGATAAGTCGTCTAACTTTCTGCTTAGGGAAGTTAAGACAGGTAGGCAGTTACCTGATGTTCTAGTGGAAATTCGTAACCATTAGGGTGCAGCTGGTTGGGCACAAGGACAAATACTCTCCGAAGACATAAGCTAGTGGTCCCACTATGTCGTGAATTGGCAGAATTTTGAATTCATGGGCTGGTCATTGGATCGGGTATCATTATTATTATTATTGTATCCTTTAATTCCTACAGGAACATAGGGCTTCAGCCGTGCGTCTCCATTGAGTTCTGTTCTCTGCTAGAGTCTTCACCTGGCTCCATGTCTGCCCACACGTTTTCATCTCCTCTTCACATGACCTCCTCCAAGTCACCCTTGCTTGCACTGACGACCAACTCGCCGCTTCCCTTTCGGGTCCCACTCGAGCAATGGCTTGTCTAGTGATGTCACTTGATGGTCTCCTCAGAGTATGGCCAGCCAATCCATCTCCATTTCTTCCTGCCTATTTGTTTCACAATCGGTTCCTGATTGGTTCACTCCCAAAAGTCTCTGTCGCTGGTCTTTTCTGGCCATCTGATCTTGACTGTTGAGCGAAGACAACTGTCAATGAAGGTTTGTAGTTTGTTTGAGATGCTCTTTATGACGCGCTGGCCAAGTCTCTGATCCGTATAGTAGCACTGACTTCACATTGGAGTTGAAAATCCGGATCTCATTTTTGATGCTGAGTGCTGTTGACCTCCACACAGACTTGAGAGTAGTGAAAGCTTGTCTTACTTTTCCGATCCTTGCTTTGATATCCTCGTCAGTTCCGCTGGCCTGTAGTTGAGACGATGCTTCCCAGGTAGGTAAAGGTGGTTGTTTCTTTCAGGTTCCTCCCATTTATGCTGATCGTTTTCTTTTGTTGTCGTTGCTGTTGGTGGTGTTGCCCAGGAATTTTCATCACCTCTGTTTTATCTATGTTCACCTGAAGTCCTATCTTTGATGCTTCTTCTGCTAACTTGTTGCTTTTCGCTTGCATATCTTCCAGTTTGTGGGAAATCAGACATATATCATCGGCGAAGTCCAGATCCTCCAGGATCGGGTCTCAGCGGATGATGAATGGTCTACGAGCTCGCTAGCCTTGTAACCAGAAAGCACTTGGTTTAAACCCCTGTGGTGGGTGCGTACTGACGAAGAGTCTCAAATCAGTACTCCTAGGTTCTCTGACGGATGTCAGCTCATGATGAAATCCTGTAACCCATCAGTCAAATCCCTACAAACCAGTACTAGAAAAACATTCTTGTATCCATCAGTGTCTACTTTTATAGCTTGTTAATTTCTGTATCTTATCTATTCTTTCTTATCTCTCCCCTTGTGGAGGCCAAAAAATATGAAATTTAACGTTCATTGTAAAATAGTAAAAATAACGAATTAACTGCACATCGTGGTTGTTAATTGAGATTGAATAAGTACACGACTTGGTTCAACCGCAGTACGGACGACATAAATTCCCTCCCCAGCTTCTTGCTTTCCAATATTGCCAATCATCTCTGGCTCATACCTGATCCGTACATTCACATTCGGATCCTCTGCTTCAAGCTGCTTTTCTCTCCGTAAGTACCCTCGGGCGGTCGGCATACTGTTACGTCGAGTGAGGATGACTACAATTCTGTACGTCTTTACTTGTGTATTTTGGGACAATTATAACTCCCGAAGTAACTGTATTTTATATGTATATTGATTTGTGTGGACTAAATTCCCCTCTACATACATACCTGTTTGTATTTGTTTTATCCTTTTTATCCACGTATAAACGAACTTAGCCGCTTAGTCCACAACAGCCTCCCTCATCCTATTCAATCTTTCCTGAGCTACTTAAAAAAGACTGTTACATGGGGAAGGGTACCAAAATCTGTTAGTAGGGCAAGTGGTGTATCGCTAAGCCAACTTGCTAATATTGTTAGTCACTCATACAAGAAATGGATAAAATCATCTTGTCGGATGCTTAGCACCGTCTTTGCTCAAAAATCTCCTCATACATCTCATTGGATAGGAGTAGAAGGCATCGTGAAAGACTTCGGGCTTATATGACTAAATATAAAAATGTAACGACACCTTATTTAGCACTCATTTTATATGATGAGGAAAGTGTTTGCTATGAAAGTATTAGCTCTCTGAGAAACCATAAACAAACATCTCGACTTATTCTTTCTATTATTATTTTCACTAGTATTTTGTTGTCACAATTTCTATTTATTTATTTTTATTGAAATTACTATTAATGCAAATGTTTCTGTTAGATGGTTGAAGGCCATCGGCGAGAAGCCTTACCTGACCTAGGTTTCAAGCTAGTGGGCACTCACCAGTCAGCAAGGCGTATCTGTAACCATGAAAGAACTCTTGCCCTTCTGATATTCGAGCCCACGGGTTCTCACCAAACCAAGGACTACACAAATTAGTTTGTTTATTAGATGTATCACACAGTGAAAAAGTATTCTTTACTAGATAACGTTTCAAACAAAAATGACGACATGCACGTCAAACATGCGCAAGACAACATCAACAGTAAGGAATCTAAATCATCAGTAGTAATTGCATACATTGAAGGAACCTTGGAAACCTTACTCAGAATTCTTAACAAGGTTGGAATAAAAGTGGCTGGCATTCAAATACCCCACAAATTCAATTAGAAACAGGCTTTGTCGGTTAAAGGATCAGTCCTGTGGAGCCTTTAAAACAAAACAATTTAGTTTATCTAATACCCCTCCTGGAATGATTGCCAGATCAAATACAAAGGTCAAAGTGGTAGAACAGGGGCAGTCAGACTAGCCGAACATAAAAACTTAGCAAAATCTAGATTGGTTGATCCAAATAAGATGAGAAATCTGAAGAATAGTTCATCTATACCACTCATTGCATGCAGTTACACACAACCATACAATAGGATGGGATGGTATAAGATGACAGTTTTAAAATCTAATGTCACAGGGTGAATGGAGGGAGAGATTGATAACAGGAGCTTTATTTGTCGAATCAACTGTAAATACGTGTAACAGGAATGATTCAACACCTGTCCACCCAGATATCTGGAAAATTCTACTACCCATACGACGACAAATAGGGGAGAACAAAGGAAACTATCAAAATCAAGTTTCGAAGTCGTGTGATTGTAATTGAAATGATTATGAACAGTAATAAATTTTGTTCGAAACATCATCCAGTAAATAATACTGTTTCGCTGTGTGATACATCTAATAAACAAACTAATATGGAATTACTTACTTTCACAGAGGACTACATGCATCACACTAGTTATTGACTGGTGTCCAGTCAAAAATATCCAATACAATAAGTCCTACATGAGGTCAGTCACGAGCCTGAATGGCTCAGTGGTAACGTCTCTGATTGCAGGTGGCAGTGGGTGACGCGGGTTAGAATCTCAGAAGGGACTAGAGTTCCTTCAAGGTTGCAGATACGCCTTGCTGACGAGTGCCAGCTAGAACGAAACCTAGGTCCAACCCTTCCTGCCGACTACCTCCAACAATCTAATACCATCAACTCAAAGTGCATCGTGATAGCAAACTACCTAGAATGCTGACCACATTACAAACGTGACTGATAGAATCCAGTCAACACCGAACAGAGGACTAGACACATCACTATAGTTACTAAATAGTGTTCAATCAAAAGCAAAAATGTTTCTGTTAATTATTCTCCTCCTCATTATGCAACTAAATGCTATATTTTACTCCGTGCTGAGGACTCCACTCCATCCCCAAAGTACCATTTTGGAATTAAGACATTCTTAGGAATTAACTAGCGATAAAGAGTGAATACAATAAAGAATAGCGTGAATTAAACACAATAAAGTGCTTACTTATAGACAGCAACATTAAGTAGGTAGACATCCTGATCGTTTATTGTATCCTCTGTTAACTGGAACCCAATTCTAATCAAATGAATAATTAAATTAGTTATTATTTAAAAATATTTAGAAATAATCAGTTGATAATTGAAATTAAAATGAAAAATTAGCTCACGGAAATATATTAAACCAACAAATTATTGAATTAATAATTGAAATTAAGGATATTTCAATTGAGGTATGCCATAAAGGTGTTATACCTTGAGAAGACTGCTCAATCACATCAAGCACCTGTCAGACAGTTGAATAGAAGCTGAATTTGAAGCGACGAGTTGGGCGTTCGAGGGTGACATAGATAGGATCATGTCAAAGAGGATATAATCTAGAGTGAGCATTCGTGGAAGCAGATGAAAGCGATAGCAGAGAACCGAGTGGAGTGAAGATGAGCTGCTGAAGCCCTATACTCAGAACACAATAAATTAAAATGATAATAACACAATAAGTGAACCCCATTCTTGAGCAGCTTTTCTAACTGAAGCAATCAGGTGTGGTAATAGTTCGTGGTTTTCTCAAACTAGAAACACTAATAATAGCTGAAAATTATCACGAAGAAACTAATACTCCTATCACAAAAATCCAGATGAAAGATATTGCCTTATTAGATGACGATTTTACCAAGAACATGCTTGCTAGGTGGTGTTATACGGTAGGCAGTAAAAAGATTAGATGTATAGTGTTAGGTAAGATGGGAAAGCCAATCAGTGAGTTTATGTGAATACCTAAGACATAATTTACACATGCCGAGCCACTGCTTTTCCCGAAAATCAATGTTACATAGTACATGATTAGGTTGGAAAACAGTTACAGGTAGTCGAATCAAAAGCTGGCGTCAATTTTCCTTGAGTTTTGCCTTTTAGTTTGAGCCAGGTAGGGAGATGTAGACTGCCTGACTGGACTCCTGGAGATACTTACGACCAATCCTTGGAGACTGTGGTTGAGATAGTTCAAAATCACCCTTAGCAACATAAATATATACTGTTTGAGAACCACTGGAAACCCATGGAGTACTTGACAGCTGCTACGTCCTTTCTGTTTTAGAATCTTCAGTAATACAATGAGTAAACCATTCAGCGTAGAGAACACAACTACAATAAAAGCAACCAATTGAGCTACAAATCTTCTCCCTTGTATCTAATATTTCAAAGAAAATGCGTCAAATGTGTACACCGACCGGTCATCTGATTTGACTAAAGCGTTCTGACGAACTTCGAGACACAGAACTGTATATATGTGAGTGTTTCTGTCTGTATAAACTTATTTATGTGAAGTTGCATATATATATATATAATTTGTAAACAGCAACTGTAAATTTAATTCAGTACGAATTTGCATCCTGTGAAGAATTGCTGACAGCCAAATTACAGTGAGTGCATCGTTGGCACAGCAGTAAAATGCTTCCCAACGACGCCTCACGTAGTCCAAGGTTCAGTACCCGGCTGACCCACTCCTTTACCTCGCCAAGCCAGTAATAAGACTGGTACAGAAGGAAGGTTGGACTTGAGGCTAGCGGCCCTATCCCGTACATATAAACACCACTGCTACAGAAACTTCAAACCTCTAGCTTAAAGGTGCCCTATGTTCCACTGGGAACTTAAAGGAATGAAAAAAAAATTGACAGTGACTGGTAGAGGTCAAGACTTAAGTATAATAACAGTCAATACTGACAACACTATGCTTATGTAAAACACAGTCTATTGGAACAATTCAGTGACCAAGTGGTACTGTACTAATTCATTGACCTATGCGTGATGAAGAGTTTTATTTAATGGAGACTAATACATTATATATTTTCAAACCAAGTCCACTTTTAACAGTTTGAAAAAGTTTGGGGACTGGGTAAATGATATTCATTATAATGAAGCTTTTTGTATTTCCAAATGAATGAAAAACAATGAAGGATATTGCTGTTTTTACTGACGTTTCGTTATTTAGTGCTGCTGCTAATAGCTTTACCAAAGTATTATTAAACCAGAATTTACAAAATTCACTCAGCTTATATGTAACAACTTGATCATCGTTCTTCTATCTAATTGTGTCTATAAAATAAAATGCTTGGAATGTGATGCTATACACATCGGACAAACATCGCGAGAAATCAAAATTAGAAGAAATGAACACCGTAGAGCCGCCTCTGTTCGATAACCGAGAAATCCAGTTAGCGAACTAGAAAAGCTTAAAAAATCATTAGCCATAACTCGTCTACACGCTATAGAATCAGGTCACAGAATTTATTTCGACATTACTGAAATAATCCAAAAAAATTTCAGAAATCAAAAAGAACGTCTCACATCATCAGAAGCACTTCGTATCAAATGGAATCCAAATTGTCTGAATAAGAATTATGGACTGAAACAGAATTTGACCTGTTCACAACATCCCCCTCCACCATGGGATGACAAAATCAACACGAATATGTGATAAGCAATTTCATTATGTAAACACACGCTGCTTTTATAATTTTATACACTTATCAAATCCAACAATCTACACCTGGTTTTGTTATCTTTACCAACTGACAAACTTGACAACGCAAAATGACCCCATGCTGAGTAACGATGATGAAGTTGTTTCATATAAGCTGAGTTTTGTAAATTCTAGTTTAATAATACTTTGATAACGCTATTAGCAGCAGCAGGACGTCAGTAAAAACAACATTATAGTTTTGCTGTTTTTCATTCTTTGGGAAACACAAAAAATTTTGTTATAATGAGACTAATACATGTTCATTCTGCACAGTAGAAAAGATCCCCTTTTTTTAACCCTAATACCAAGTCATTGACTCAATAGGATTCAGATACTTGACACCCTCAAAGGGAACTCGAATGGAAGGAGACCATCTGAGCATGATCGGAGGGTGACATAAAGATCATGTAAGGAAAAAATGAAAGCTTGTAAATAACCTGTAGAAAACGTATTGAAATGGTAATTTACTAGTGCTGAAATTCTGTATTCCACTCAGAAACCAAGGGAATAATTACGCCAATCATACACGCAAAGAGTTCAACTAAAAGTTCACTCTTACTTAGCTTTGTTAACATTCAGCGGTCTTCCATCATCTGTAAATAATTTCGGAGCTTCTTTTTTCTTCTCGCTAAACGTATTCAAATTATAAAATAAAGGAAACGAAATTTCGTAGCGCTATACACGTATATATATATGTAAATATATATAGGATAATTTTATGATAATTATATTAACTGTATATTATATATAAATCTGTACGCATCAAGGGAGTTTCGAACCCAGGACATGGTACACCATTCAACCACTGGGACCCGATTCACAGTAGCCACCCAAGAATTCTAACTTCTATCAATTCGTGATTTTAGTGCGACCACCACCTGATGTCATTGGCCGGAACTCTATCCTCACTCCCAACTGGATGGACCTCACTGGTTACTACTTCTCACTAGAACTCCAGGAAAGTCCATCCTGTAGTAAGCCACTAGCGAGTATCATTAGATTAATTTTCAAGAGTTAATTTGTAAGGATTTGATTTGTTCATTCGAGTTTGACCAGTGATTCTCTCTAAGTCTGACTAATAGCCGATATCGATCAAACATCTACAAGTTAACTCTTGAAAGCTAATCTGATGCTCGCTAGTGACTGGTTAGGGGACAAAATTGTCCGGAGTTCTAGTGAGAAGTCATGACCAGTGAGGTCCATCGGTAGGGTGTGACGAAGAATACGCACCGATAACATTGTCTGGTAGTCGCGCTAAAATCTCTAACTGTTAGAAATTGGGATTCATGGGCTGGTTATTGGATCGAGTTCCAGTGGCTGAATGGTATATGAGCTTGTCTTGTGACCGGAAGGTCCTGGATACATACTACCTGTTACTCCCAGACTAGGACGAAACAGCTCTTCAGTACTCCTTGATATAAATCTGTCCTAAAATATTCACCTTCATATTTAATCGGGTGCGTGACTAGAGTAAAACGTCCTAATTCCGCTTATTTTTTGTTTAAAAGATTTTTTTGAAAAAGTAGTGTGTCACTTCACTATTTTCTGAAACAATCAACACTTAAAGCTGCATAATCGCTTGACATCAATTTTAACGATGCTTCTGCTGAAAACTTCCGACAGAAGCAGTAATTAAACACTCATTGTTCAGTGTTGTTCGTTATGAAAAGAGAATATCTAGTCCTCATAAATGGATAGAGATAGGACTGGTAAGTTTCAGCTCTTCTCATTTAGATTAATGAATACAGCATTCGAATCTGTTACTAACTCTTTCAGTCTCACTCCCACTGCCATATATCTGACCTGATCACTAATACGATCTAACAGACTGCAAACAGTATGAGCCTAATTTTTGCTAATAAAAACTAGTCTATTCCCTAGTCAAAAGGTCAACCCTCAAAAAGCCAATGACAGTACCACCGGCACGTGATACAAGAAGACAAGACGGAGGATGTTATTTGTATTTCAGTTAATTTACATTCCCCGTTGACTGTTTATGCTGGACGGAAATCCTTGGTCTTTGTAGCCATGTCGGCTCCTAACACAGACGCTTCAAAGATTTTTTAAGGGTTAAGATGATGTTATTCTGGTTGATGGTGATTAGTAATGTGGTGAAAGCTGTCTGTAAGCCAAAATTGTAGACAACAATTTACGTCAGTGTTTACGTCCCCAATCAGGATCATGAGAGAAAAACAAAAACAAAGCCTACCCTTGAGGAACTCAACAACCAATCACGGCAGACTTAGTGTGCAAATATGATTCGCAGATATGTGGATTACGTTGTAAGAGACGGTCACAAGCAGTATAGAATAACCCTCAGCAAGAAAACAACCAAAGACGTTGCTTCTCTGCTAACAACGCTAATAATAATGTACATAAAAATCTATAAATATCTGTTGATTTTCTCAATAAACGATGTGTTACCTGGCCCTTGTCTTCCGTCGTTACACCAGTAGTAGTAGGAGTAGAATCCAGAAGATGCATTTTGTCCCCTTCAGGAATCGTTAGCTAGATGTATCTGCATTCCTAATGAGTGATGATTTTCTTACAGGGACTCGAACCCCACACCAAAACATGTCAGCGAGAAGGAAGCCTCTCTCGTAGCCTCAATTGTCTAGTGGATAATGCCTTGGCATTTGAGACAGCTGGTGCTGAATTCGAATTTCATTGGGAATGCATGTGCATCCAGTCCACCAGCCCTAGATAGAACAAAATGCATATCCTTGACTTCAATACTCGTCATCATCAACCAAGGCAAGATGGACTGTTATGGATAAAATTTTATTTTGATAAAGCCACACAGTGTTGTTATACAGAAAGTAATATTTACTGATGACCACGCACGCTTCGAGCACAATTTATTACTACTGCTCATAATCATATCAAGGCATTACATACACACACAACTTTCTCGCTTCATTTATATACATGAGTAAAAACTGATAATTAGACATCTGAATAAAATCAATATAAGATAAATTACATTCAGAAATAATATGAGAATATAAGGCATCTACAGATATACCATATAAGGAGAGACATCTGAGACCCTTCCTATGTAGGATTCTCAATAAAGCATGAATTTGGATGGCATTCAAACCTACAAGCTCTGTAGTTTACAGAACCCTGTTGACCCAATCAAACAAAATAATATAATTTACAAAGTACCTTACAATGACTGTGAGATCAACTACATAGATTAAACTAGTAGATCGGGAGTAGTAAGATTATCCAAACATAAGAATTTAGCTAAGGCTAGAATGATTGATCCTACAAAGATAAGTAATTTAGAAAAACAAACTCAGTAATCGCACTGCATGCATTAACACACAACCACACAATAGAGTGGGTGGGACAGAGTCGAAATTCCAAGGAGTAATATAGGTAGGTGGAGAGAAAGAGAGAGAAGTCGATTACTGAATCGTGGTTCATCGAATAATCTACACCCAACACATGCAATAGAAGTGACTGAACGCAATTACCAGAGATATGTATGGAAGATATTATTACCACCAGTCAAATCAGAGGAGGATAACAAATAATGTTAAAATGTATTCAATTCAATTCACATTATAATATTCTGACAAGTTACTTATTTATTTTACTATAAAACAATCGTCTTATTTCCCATCTGATTGTATTTGACTGATAACACTAATATTATATCCAAATGCACTTTATCTTATATTGATTTTATTCAAATGTCTAATCATCAATTTTTACTCATGTATATAAATGAAGCAAGAAAGTTGTGTGTGTGAGTACCTTGATATGATTATGAGCAGTAGTAATAAATTGTGCTCGAAGCGTGTGTGGTCATCAGTAAATATTACTATATAACATCGCTGTGTGACTTTATCAAAATAAAATTTTATCCATAATGGAGTTATACTCCATCAACACAGTGCCCAAGTTTTATCCTTACATCAAAATGGACTGTTTTTTTAGACAATCAGTCAGTATTCACTTCTTTTTCTCCCGTGTTGGTGGTATTTTTTCTAACTGTTGATGTTGTAGTCAGCATTTAGAGTAGTTCTCCCGTTAGCACATTAGATTCATATTGCTTACAGTCTGCCAAACTGTATGACCGGTCAATATTTCTCATTTTAGCCTAGGGAAACCAAATGGTATTGCAGGCTTTCACAGATTGCTACATGACTCAGTGTCTCATACATGAGAATAATAAATTCCACTGGCTTTCCATTTATTTTAGGTATATCACCCATATTTAATTATATTTATTAATTTATCGACTACTTATTAAGTAGTAATGTATGTCCAATTTTACATATGTATAAAGCATTCATGATAGGAACGAATACTATAATTAACAAATGCTTTACAGGCGAATCCTACATATGTGTACTACATACCTTGAAACATTTTTTGACTCCTTGGCTTGTGCCTGCAGTTGCATATATTCATGTGCTTCAACACGTGATTCAGGTGTGTACGGGATTTTTTCATTCCAAAATTCCTCCGTATCTTTATCTGTTAAACTGACAAAAAAGATTGACAAAAAAACAAAAAATGAAGGGTATAATCTTTATGACGTCCAACCGATTTTTTACTATGCTGGAAAAATTTTCAGAAAGTGAAATACATAGGTGAGTGAATGTCAGTTCAATAGCTAAATGTTAACATAGTTACCTCAGAAAACTGACGGTTCAGATTTCCGTTACATAGTTGGAAGAAATCAATACTTCCTTCAGCGTTTGCAGATACACCTTCCTGTCGATTGTCGACGAGCATGAAACCTAGGACTGAGACTTACTACGGATCACTTCTAACCATCTAGCATTAATTCGAAGTGCACCACGATGGCGATACACTTTGAAAAACTCTCTCAAACACCAGAATCAAGGACTTTCTGATACCGATTCCTCTTCAGTAGGAAAGATTTGCAGCTCAATAGAGGGAGACGGAAACTGTTCACTGTTCTCCAACCTCTGGCATTTGATTATTGACGTTATATCACCAGACCCTGAGATCTATTCAGTAAAGAATCACTGTGGTTAGCGATGAAACATCAATGACTGAATCTCGGAAGACATTTAGCAGTTATGTAAATTAGCGACATCATGCCGAAGTTGGTTGGAATCAACTAAGAGAAAGGCAAAAGATTATCGTTAAACTGGATGTAACGATTTTATTATTTTTATTATTAAGTTCTGCATATTGAAATGTAAGCAGCCATGTGATTATATACGTATGACTATAATACAAAGCGATTTAACGTATTGCAATTTTCTCTACATTCTTTATTTCCGCAAACCACAGAATCTGGTAGACACAAACATTCTTTTGTTTAGATTGGTCCCCTATGGATATAACTAGGTGTCGGTGAATATATTTCATCATTGTAGAAGAAGAACTCGGGCACTGTGGTAGAGTATAATCCCATATTACATATGTTCATCTGATGTTATAACATACAATGACACAGTATTAATAATTGGATGAAGCATCAAAAGTAAGACTCCAGGTAAACATAGAGACAGCAGAGGAAATGATAAAGATTCCTGGCCAACAGCAACAACAACAGACACCAATCAGCATAAATGAGAGAAATCTGAAAGAGGCGACCTCCTATACCTCCCTAACCGGGAAGCATCTTCTCAACTGCAGGCAGACGGAACCGATGAGAATATCAAAGCGAGGATAGGGAAAACAAGGAAAGCTTTCATTACTCTCAAGTCTGTGTGGAGATCAACAGCACTACTCAGCATGAAAATGAAAATAAGATCCAGATTTTCAACTCCAATGTGAAGTCAGTGCTACCTACTATAGGAATCAGAGACTTGGCGCCATGTCACGAAGGCCACTTAAAGCAAACTACAGACCTTCATCAATAGCTAGCTGTCTTCTCTCAACACTACTCAAGATGAGATGGCCGGCCAAAAAAGATCAGCAACAGGGATGGATCTCTGACAATGAGTGAATCAACGAACCCAGCAGGAACCGACTGTACAACAAACATGCAGGGGGAAACGGAGGTGGATTGGCCATACTCTGAAAAACCATCAAGTGACATCACACATCAGGCCATCGCTCGAGTGGAACCCGAATGGGAAGTGGCGAGTTAGTTGGTCGTCAGTGCGAGGGTGGCATGGAGGAGGTGGTGTGAAGAGGAGTTTAAAGCATGTGCGCAGACATGCAGCCAGGTGAAAACGTTGGCGGAGACGTTTGGCTGAAGCCCTGTGTTCCTCTAGGAACTAAAGGAAACAATAAAAATAATAATATAATAATAAGATGTTTTGCGCAAAATTTATTGCTACTCATAATCACATTATTTCTGGATTGACTGAAAACAGCTATGCGCATTAACATGATTATGAGCAGTAGCAAAGTTTTCTCAAAATGTCGTCTAATTATTAAAACTGTATCATCACTGTACGTTATATCAGATGAACTAATCTCATATCGGTGCGTCGGTGGGCCAGCGGTTAGGTCGCTCACCGACCATACACATGGTCCGGGGTTCGATCCCCGGCCGACGTACTCCTGTACCTCGCTAACCCAGTAATAAAGCTGATAAAGAGGAAACGTTGGGCACGAGGCTAGCAGCCTCATCCTGTAAAAGTAAATAATGCTACAGAAACCTCAAGCCTTCTAGCTTGAAGCCCTATGTTCCACTGGGAACGTGAAGGAATAGAAAAAATCTCATATCGAATTCATTTCATTGTTTAGTGTGATGCCTCTGAAATAAAAATCTAGAATTCTTCGATGAGTAATTTGCTTGAATTCAGTGTTCGAATGACTAGATAATGAGTCGTATAAACGATAAAAACTTCCAATACTTTAATTATATGAAGGTATCGATCCGGAAATTTCGCTTTGCAAGATCCTAAGAAATACTAATAGTCGACTTTTCAAGAAGCGGTTTGTGAAACTGTGTTTGACTTCAAGTCAAACTTCATCACGAACAGACATGAACAGCAATTTGTTCGACATGTAACCTAAGAGTCCTCAGTTCAATCCCTGTTGAGAACGTGGGTGAGTTCTGCCGGACACTCGCAACCTAGGATGAAACAGCTATCCAGTAGAACCTGGATTAAAATATTTCGCCTCAAATCTAACCAACAGCTGATATCGATCAAATCTCTACAAATGACTCTTAAAAATTAATGTGATACTCGCTGGTGACTGGCTACATGACAAAGTTGTCTGAAGTCCTAGTGGTAAGTCGTAACTAATGAGGTCCGTTGGGAGGGTGTGACGACGAATACACACCGATAACATTGGCTGGTGTTCGCGCTAAAATCACTAGCTGGTAGAAGATGGTAATCATGGGCCATTCAATTGGGTCCCAGTGACTGGATGATGTACAAGCTTGTCACAGTGGATGAGTACTGATGAAGAGTCCCAAACTAGGACGAAACAGCTGTCCAGTACTCGCTGATTTTCAATATTTCTCTAAGTGATATCAATCCGTGATCAGATTTGAAACAAATCAGCTGGTGAAAATCTACTAGAATATTGATGAATAAACGAATTCTTCTTAGGCTGGAACACTGGATCAACACAATTGTAAATAATAATAACTTGAACGAAAAAAATATTTAATAATGTATTACCCATTTGAATTTTTATATTTTTCAGAACGTTTCTGTCTTCTCTGCTCTGCTTCAATCTTCTCTGATTTCTAATCAAAAAATAAGAAAAACACATTGTAGTAACGGCAAGAAACTCTTTCATTGGATAATATTATACACAGTGAAAGACTATTATTATTACTTAATGGATGACGTGGTTTCGAACACATATCATATCATCAACTGTAATCACATAATTTTCGAAAACAGACTTTTTTAGTTCTCATTCTTCTTTAACCCTTGTTGTAAGGGTGACCTCATTCTTTAGATGTTCAGGACAATTGTTAGATTACTTCTGTTGCATGTAGTCTCAGTTGATTAGGTAGATGAAGCTTCAGTTCTGCACTCGTGTTTAATTTCCGATCTATGTTTCTATTTTTAAGATGTGACCCAATATTGGAAGCTCCTATTCCTGGCCTTTGAAATCATAAGTAAATTGAATTGCTCCTACTGTTGAATTTATGTTCTCAAAAAACCTATGTACATTCCGTGTTTTTAATACTGTGAACATTATTATTACTATTGTGTCCTTTAGTGCCTAGAGGAACATAGGGCTTTAGCCAAACGTCTCCGCTGAGCGTTCGGTTCTCCGCCAAAGGTTTCACCTGGCTCCACGTCTGACCACATGCTTTCATCTCATCATCCATGTCACTCTCGCACTGACAATCAACTCGCCGCTTCCCATTCGGGTTGCACTCAAGCGATGGCCTGGTCCGGATGCCACTCTTTTGATGGTTTATTTTCGCAGAGTATGGCCAGCCAATTCACCTCCATTTCTTCCTACCTATTTGTTGCACAACTGGTTCCTGCTGGGTTCGTTGGTTCGCTCATTGCCAGATATTCCTCCTTGTTGCTGATCTTTCCTGGTCGGCCATCTGATCTTGAGTGTTATTGAGCGAATACAGCTGTTGATGAAGGTCTGTAGTTCAAAGTTGTTCGAAGTTCTCTTCATGACGCGGCTCCAAGTCTCTGATCCATATAGTGAGGAGTACTGAATCCACATTGGAGTTGAAAATCCGGATCTTATTTTTGATGCTGAGTAGTGCTGTTAATCTCCACACAGACTTGAGAGTAATGAAAGCGTGCCTTATTTTCATGATCCCAGCCTTGATATCCTCACCAAACATGGCATCTACATACTGTAGTGGTGGGGTTGGATGCTTTGGCAGCCAAATTCTCCCATTTTTCCATGGACACAATTCAACACTTTTTTCCGGACATTTGGCAGGTCCTACTACTCCAACGACAAATGGCATAGAAGAACAAGAAATCTAAAGTTACAACTGTTATGATTATGAACAATAAATTATGTACTAAACGTCTTCCAGTGATAGCGGTGTTTCCTTCTGTGCGTAAATTAATATGGAATTACATACTACCACAGTTTCCAACCAGTACCAGGAAAACACGACAGGCGTTCATTATTGTGAAATCTATGTGGTTATCAACAGCACTCCACACAGGGAATAAGATCCGAACTTTCAACACTAACATCAAGTTAGTCACTGTTTCTACATGCTTCGAAGTGTTGATTCAGGAATCAGCAAAATTATTTCCAACTATCTGCCTCAGACTTTCATCACTACCTGTCTTCACTCGATCAGATGGCCGGAGAGAATGAATAAGCAACAAGAAAACTTCACCAGACAACAACCCATTGCCTAATAAATATGCAAAAGGAAATGGAGAAGGATTGTACATATTCCTGAGAAGACCACTGATCTACATCGCACGCCAGAAGCAACGAGTTGGCCATGATTTCAAGGAAGACAATGGAGGAGATCATGTGAAGTCGAAATGGAAGCTTGTGGTCATTCTCAGTGGCAGCTGAAAACAGAAAGAGAGACGACAGTGTGACATGGAGATGTTTTGCTGACCACCTTATGCTCCACTCGGAACTTGAAAAACTAATAACAATAATTAAAGAGAAGAAACGTTTACAGACTATTACTCACCCTTTTTATTTCATACTCCTTTTGTTTTTCTAATATAATTGGTAAAATATGGTCAAAGTTTTGTAGGGCAATAATACGTTCCGACTTGGTGATCTCATTTCCATCTAATGACTAAATATTAACAATTTACAAATTAATATATTCATTGAATAGTATTTACTTTTAACTGAGGTAAACTCGCGATAACATACTCTCTATATCCGGGATATTCTGTACAAGGATTACCAGTTAAATATCTAAAATGAACACAAACACATATGTCATTCACTTTCACTTACAATTCTTCAAGAAATTGAACATTTACTAACGATTGAACACTGGTCAATTCACCAATAAAATTCACTGTTAAATCTAATTTTTTCAATGATTCACATCCTTCTAAATTTTCAATTTTTTCAATATTATTTAGCGCTAAATTTAAATATTCCAACTTTTTCAACTTTGAAACATTTTCTGTAAGATGGTTAGAATGCAAAAATCAAAAAGCACCTACCAATTTTTGATAGTAGATTATTTTGAAGATATAATATACGTAGGTTTTTACACCATTGTTCAAGGTTATCAATTCTTTTGGTAGAGGAAAACAAAGTGCGTTACATTTTGTTTATTTATGCTTGAATACCTTTCAAGATTTTGTTGATGTAAAGTTAATTCCTCGAGTGAATGAATCTCTCCTTCATTGTGTTCAGCTCGTTTCCTGATAAGGTCTTCAGTGACTTGAAGAAAAATGAGGGTATTATGAGGTTTTGATTTTGAAACTTACTTAATACCATCAGTCAGTTTGAAAGGGAATTTATAAATCTGTAAGCAAAACGGAAGTGAAAATAAATTTCTCGTGATACTGAAACTCTTCGTCATTACATCTGTGAAAATAATATACCAAACTTCACCTAGTCTACTAACTCGCTAGTTTCCCAGGCGGCCCCAAGCCGGAGGAAAGAAGGAGGGTTGGGCGTAGGGTTAACGACCCTACCCTGGAAAATCAATCAAAAGGCTGTAAAAACTTCAAAACACAAGCGGTTAGGACTCTAGTCGACCTTGCACATGACCTGGGGTTCGATCCCCGGCCGGCGCACGCCTAATATCAATGGTCGGTCCGCCAGATTTGGGCTACCGATATCACTTATGCCAAAAATACTGTGTGGAGTCAAGCTATAACAAAATATAAAATAAAAAATATAAATAAGCCATAGAATGAATTCGAGCATTATACGAATAACTCAGTCATGGTAGAGGAATACATTGATTTCATGCACAGAGAGGTTGTGAAGATACATTGATGGTGGTGGCTAGGATATGCATCACGCTATCACCTTCTACTTCAAAAAATGTTAACTGACATATTACCGGGTTGACGAAGTCTTTGACTATTCCTCCGAACAATTTACGGGGATGTAGACCATCAGACTGAAGAATGTCTGTGACATGTCCAAAATTCATTCTCAATATCACAGATACATTCACCCTTTATGAGCTGTTATATTAATTAATTCTCAATAGCCTCTATTCCACCTTTCTTACTCCCGCCAATTTCTGTTTATTATACTTGTATACTACCGATTAATTTATATGAGTAGTTAGCCACCACCTACGTAATCTGATAGAGCTTACCAATCAAAATGAAGTGATCGAAACACGAAACGGCTGGTTCACCCATTTCGGAAAGAGATTATCAGAGGTTTGCCCGGTTTGACTCAACTCAAACCACTAGGATTTTAACTAAGTGTTTAGACGAACTGGTAATTCATACAAATGAGTTTGTAGTTTGAAGTTTTCACTACCGTCCCACTTGGAAATCAAAAATGTCTAGATCATACTGTGTGACCTGCTTGCGAACATAGCTGGATAGTTGTATTTACTAGTGATTGGTAAAAGTAGCTGTGAACCATTTCCATTTATCATTATTGCCTGATAGACAGATCAAAATGATCCGAAACTAGATAGGTGACCCACTAATTTGGGTCCAAGATCACTAGCCACATACCCAGTTAAACTCAGTTTAGCGAAAATATTCATTCATACATCTAAAAAACACAAAATAATTGAGCAAAGAATATCCTTTTCGATAATTTCCTCTTCTGGCTTCACCATTATATATATATATATATATATATATATAAATCTTTATATACATAGAATATTCTAGAATAGTAGTCAATAACAATATTAGTCTTCTTAAATAATATCGATTCGTTAAATAATATCAGTGGAATCACAGTTCATTAAAGATGCTTAGATTATAATAATAACAAAGATATAATAGCAAATAGAATATCAGTTTGGAGAGCGATATTAAACAATCCGAAATGTAGTTTGCTATTTGGGCGAACTGTTTGTACATAAGATAAGATTTGCAACTTGTAAATTATGTAGTTCGAAGTAGTGCAAGAAGTGCCCAACTACTTATATCAGTCAGTGGTATATAGATACCATTACGCAATTATGCTTACTCCCTTGATTACCAATTATGATATAAAGTGGAACACATCTAGGCATTTCTGGTCCCCAACTACCGGCGGCATGGATGAAAATGTCAAAGGCAAGATAGGTGAGGCAAGACAATCCTTCATTATTCTGCAATCAGTGCGAAAATCTAAGTCAGTAAACACGAAGAACCAGATTCGGGTTCTCAACACTAATGTCAAGTCAGTCCTTCTATCTGGTCACCACAGGCATTTCCTATAGGCTACTGCAAGCTCTCATCAATAGCTGCCTTCATTCCATACTGGAGATCAAATAATTGGTAAGAAAAGATAAGCAACAGACAATTCTGGGATAGAACCAACCAACAACGTATTCTCCAGCAAATTTGCCGAAGATTATGGGGGTGGATTGAACACAAGACGAGGAGACTGTTGAGTGAAATCGCCCAACAGTATGCTGAACAGAAATGGAGTGGAGAACGACGAGATAGGCGTGAGTTCAAGGGTGACATTGGGAAGAATGTATGACAAGGAGACAAGAGCTCATGCACAATTGTTGGGTCAGCTAAAGATGGCTGCAGAAAACAAGATGAAATGGAGATTTGCTTTTGAGGCCATGTGTCCCACTCAAAACCCCATGGAACGTCTGTGATGACTCCTCACCCCCATCTGCTACATTTCACCGAAATGTGCTGCCAGTAATTTAAAAGAATCTTAGGCATATTTGAAAATCGGATGAGAATGGTCTATAGCCAATCCTATGGAAGACTAAGACCTCTTCACGCGGCATATTAGAGACATATACCGGAAATAACCCATTATATATATGTATATATCTATATATAGTAAACACTTTATTATATTACAAACGCCGTTTTTTGCCTAGAAGCACCAGACTGAGTGGTTCAAAGTCATTTGACCGTGGTGTCTGTTATTTAATTTTGCCACGAAGAGAAACAGATTAACAACGTCAGTCTATAAGGTCATTTTCTACTGGTTTCAACCGTTTAGAAAACAGCTGGATGTCAGATGTTACGAATAAATTAGCATCACCTAATTTTTCGAACCAAACGATAACTATACCCCAAAAAACTCAAAAACTCCTCACTTAAAGGTAGAATTGCTACTGAACACTGTCATTCACCGTGCTGGTTTTTGCTTTATTGGAAAAAACGTTCAGGACGCTCAGGGTTATATACACTTGATATTAAACAGACTATTATCTTGAGGGTCAGAAGTCAGTAGCTCTATAGTCTAGATGATGTTCGAAAGGCATGCATTGAAGCGGAGTTTCGAACTACAACTTCCTGACAAGTGGCTCAGTTAAGCATCCACTTTCCATCATAAAAAGGGTTTAAGGGTTAATATTCTGAGAAATTAGTTACGGTTTAGAATATATCAGAGGAAATTAGACAACAATACTACCCAATGATTTAAATATTGGCAAACAGGAAGAGTTTCAAAACTGCGACAAACTGGTCTACAGATAAGTGCCAAATTATTTGATCCATAGTTTCATAGTCATTTGAATATAAGTATCCCACTTTTAAACTCAGGTGGGACCACCCTTAGGCCATGTCAAGATAAAACGTTAGGATATTCTTCAAGAACACAGAAAAAGCTAAGTGCTTGGAGCAAATAGCTACAAATAGTGGCGTTTTAGATGTCCAGTATCATTTTAAAGTGTTTTCAGATGTTTCAGGTGACGCATATTTTCTACCAACTTACACACGTCTGGAACTAACTAACTTCACAGTACTCACAACTCTACTGACTTTCGGATACTTATGTATTTTCTCAGGACCACAGCTGTATGGCAGAACAATGTGAGTTTTGTCAGTAGGTGACGGTAGTAACTAAGTGGTGACTAAGTCATACCTCACAGACAAGTAGACTGTGAATGTCCAGCCGGATAGCAGAATAAAAGTGGGTAAAGAGTGCCTAAATAATTGTTAAAATTGATACAGTTTCGAGCATTTAGTAATATAATGAGCAAATCATGATTAAATAGTAACCAATATGAGAAAATAGTGTCTAAAGAATGGCTGAAATTGGAGAGAAGCAGTTAAACAATGGAAATTGTCAGTTTAGTAGTGATCAGATATAAAATATTGCCTTAATTTTGGTCATATAATAGCAAAAATGAGAAAATTTATGCCATATAATCAAAATCCGTTTATTTTCTATTACTGTAGTAATAGAAATAGCTGCTACTGACCATGCATGTTATTTACCCATGTTTTTTTCCTATTTTTTCTGACCGAGTGTCTACTGATATACAACGAGACCAATAATGAAAGTAATATTCGTATATGACAAACTTGGTCACATTAATGTGCGTAGGAATTCCTGCACAGTACAAAGTAATATTATATGATATTATATAATTTGATAGTATGATGAAAATTGCCAATGATCACCACTTATTATCTGAGATATAATAGGGAAATCAAAGATGAAACCTGCGCTTTTTAGCATATGTATCACGTATATCCCAGCTAGCATTGACTTAGGGCCCACTGCAGAATCCCGATCGGTGAATATTTTTGGAACCTGCGGTAAATGGGTGAAAACGTGGGTCGTGTGGGCAGATTGGGAAAAGGTGGAACAATCAAATTTTTTGACACATGGAAAAACGGAGAAAATGTGGCCGATACGGGTAAATTGGGCAAATTATGTAGCATTTTAACCCTCTTTTGCCCACCTATTCGCCGATCAAAATTACCCTTTTAGCCCACGTTTTTCTGACATTGCCCAGGTGCACTCTCTGGCTGGGGTGTTTGCGTGAGATTTCGGTAGCATTTCAGAATCGTTGGGGCAGATCACTTTCACACGTTCTGCAACGAGTCCGACTATTCTGCCCGACGATTTGGCAGCGTGCCCGAAGTAAATGCTAGCTGGGCCGTCGGACGTTTTCTTCAGACATATGTCATACACCGTATGATATAAATCGCCATTCGAGTGTGTTTGCAGCAGTAATAACCATGATAACTATGACAGATTACATCTACTAAATATTTGGTGTCTTGTTAGATTGATAATTAATGGTTATAAATGTAATCTCGGATTTTAGATATCTCGAAAACTCGTAACACTAAATATAAATATAAGAGAAAACCCCTAACAGTATGCACATACAAAGTAAATTCAGTAATTGTGTTATACTGAAGTAAAACAAATTCAGCGGTATTTAGCTATTTTTGGCACGTTGTCATGTGTCGAGGTCATTATTTTCTGTCTCAGTAGCGCATAAAAACAATACAATATCTAGTGTCATTTTTACTAGCTAGAGTAAATTGATTTGATTTCTTTGTGCTCACTTCTTCATTGTGAGGTAAAGTTGCCTGGTCTTAGGTACACTTCTGCTCAGTTCGTCCCGCCACTCAACTGTTGTACCTTTGAAATAATAGAGAAGATTTGTAGCTCAGGTGGATGATTTACAATTAAAAGCGTTCTCTGAGCTGGTTGGTTTAGTCGCGAAGCTTTCGTCGTCCTTCCGGACAACATCTTCAGCGCCATATTTAGCACGAAGTGAAGTGATTTAAATTTCCTCATGCGTGATGTAATTGCGTCTCCTGGTTACTATCTTCACATATGTATTGACCACTTTCTATTGACTAGGATTTTAAACTTTTTGGTCACCTGATTTACTTTTTATTAATTGGTATACTTCATCTATATTAATGTGTTTGTTAATCGCATTTTCGCTTGAGTACCAGGCCTCTAGGAATTCTCTGGCACTTTTCGTGTTTCCTCTGTTTAAGATTTTGACATGATCCCAATCAAACTGATGACCATAGTTGTCTGCATGCATTGATACTAAAGAATTCATATCATGTCTTTTCACGGCTGATTTATGTTCTTGGATTCTAATTCGAAGGGGACGCCCACTTTGGCCGATATAATGCTTGTTACAGTTCATACAATTTATTTTGTAGATGGTATTAATTTTATCCCCTTTTTCTGTTGGATCTTTCGGTTTGCATAATATCGAATTAAGCGATTTGACTGGCTTGTGTGCTATATCTATATCAAACGGTTTCAGTACTCTAGCTGTTATTTCAGAGATGTTCCTCATGTATGGTAGAATGAATTTCCTTGTGGTCTTAGATGATGGTTTCTTGTTGGTGTTCTGATTCGACTTTAAACACTTTTTGATGAAATTTTGTGGATAACCATTCTTTTTGAAGACCGTTTGTAGGTACTTTTCTTCCATTCTTTTCAGCTCTGGAGTGCTGCAATGTGTCTGAACTCTTTTAAACAATGTCTGCACACAGTTTCGTTTGTGAGTAACTGGATTATTGCTAGTATAGTTGAGTATTTGATCTGTGTGCGTTGATTTTCTATAAACTTGTGTCTCTAAATCTCCTGTGTTGGTTCTCCTGATTAAGACATCTAAAAATGGGATTTTGTTATCTAATTCTTCTTCTCTCGTGAATTTGATGTCTTCAAATATGTTGTTTATTAATTTGTGAGTATATTCTAAATCATTTCTCTTAATTATTACAAATGTATCATCAACGTAACGTATCCAGATTTTCGGTTTAATTATAGGTAGAGCTATTAATTCTAATCTTTGCATAACGGCTTCAGCTATTAATCCTGATATGGGCGATCCCATTGGTGTTCCTTTTATTTGTTCATATATTTGAGTATTGAACTGGAAGTATGTTGTAAGGCATAATTTTATGAGTTCTATCCAAGTTGATAATTGCGTTTTTGTGTTTTCATCACTATAGAGTAATTGTTGCATGGTTTCTATTGCTAGTTTTGGACTAATTGAAGTATATAATGCTGTGACATCAAAGGACACCATTATTTCATTGTCTTCTACTTGAATGTTTTTGATTTTCTCTAAAAATTGGATTGACGAATTGATAGAATGGTCGCATGATTCTGTTAGGTAATTTAATTTCCTGAAAAGTTCTTTAGATAGATTATATGTTGGTGTTCCTGGAAGCGAAACGATTGGTCGTAAGGGAATATTTGGTTTGTGTAGTTTCGGTCTACCATAGAATCGAGGTAAAATAGGTCCGTTAGATTTCATTCGCCATTGATCTTGTTCTGTAATTTGTCCTGATTTCGTTAGTTTATTTAACGTTGTTTTGATTTTGTTATCTAATGTTTGTATAGGGTTTTTTGTCAACTGTTGATATACATTATTATCTTTGAGTAAATCTTCTGCTTTCTTTATGTAGTCTTCTGTGTCCAGGATTACTGTTGTTCTTCCTTTATCAGCCGGTAGAATAACTATATCTTTTCTATTCTTCAGTTTCTTCAATGCATTTTGCTCTTCAGTGCTAAGTTGGGAATTATGTCTTTTCTGTTTGAGTATAGGTATGATACATTGACGTACTTCTTGTTGTACTTCCTCATTTAATTTTGATACTTTGAGTGATGTTTCGCTTCCAGGAACACCAACATATAATCTATCTAAAGAACTTTTCAGGAAATTAAATTACATAACAGAATCATGCGACCATTCTATCAATTCGTCAATCCAATTTTTAGAGAAAATCAAAAACATTCAAGTAGAAGACAATGAAATAATGGTGTCCTTTGATGTCACAGCATTATATACTTCAATTAGTCCAAAACTAGCAATAGAAACCATGCAACAATTACTCTATAGTGATGAAAACACAAAAACGCAATTATCAACTTGGATAGAACTCATAAAATTATGCCTTACAACATACTTCCAGTTCAATACTCAAATATATGAGCAAATAAAAGGAACACCAATGGGATCGCCCATATCAGGATTAATAGCTGAAGCCGTTATGCAAAGATTAGAATTAATAGCTCTACCTATAATTAAACCGAAAATCTGGATACGTTACGTTGATGATACATTTGTAATAATTAAGAGAAATGATTTAGAATATACTCACAAATTAATAAACAACATATTTGAAGACATCAAATTCACGAGAGAAGAAGAATTAGATAACAAAATCCCATTTTTAGATGTCTTAATCAGGAGAACCAACACAGGAGATTTAGAGACACAAGTTTATAGAAAATCAACGCACACAGATCAAATACTCAACTATACTAGCAATAATCCAGTTACTCACAAACGAAACTGTGTGCAGACATTGTTTAAAAGAGTTCAGACACATTGCAGCACTCCAGAGCTGAAAAGAATGGAAGAAAAGTACCTACAAACGGTCTTCAAAAAGAATGGTTATCCACAAAATTTCATCAAAAAGTGTTTAAAGTCGAATCAGAACACCAACAAGAAACCATCATCTAAGACCACAAGGAAATTCATTCTACCATACATGAGGAACATCTCTGAAATAACAGCTAGAGTACTGAAACCGTTTGATATAGATATAGCACACAAGCCAGTCAAATCGCTTAATTCGATATTATGCAAACCGAAAGATCCAACAGAAAAAGGGGATAAAATTAATACCATCTACAAAATAAATTGTATGAACTGTAACAAGCATTATATCGGCCAAAGTGGGCGTCCCCTTCGAATTAGAATCCAAGAACATAAATCAGCCGTGAAAAGACATGATATGAATTCTTTAGTATCAATGCATGCAGACAACTATGGTCATCAGTTTGATTGGGATCATGTCAAAATCTTAAACAGAGGAAACACGAAAAGTGCCAGAGAATTCCTAGAGGCCTGGTACTCAAGCGAAAATGCGATTAACAAACACATTAATATAGATGAAGTATACCAATTAATAAAAAGTAAATCAGGTGACCAAAAAGTTTAAAATCCTAGTCAATAGAAAGTGGTCAATACATATGTGAAGATAGTAACCAGGAGACGCAATTACATCACGCATGAGGAAATTTAAATCACTTCACTTCGTGCTAAATATGGCGCTGAAGATGTTGTCCGGAAGGACGACGAAAGCTTCGCGACTAAACCAACCAGCTCAGAGAACGCTTTTAATTGTTGTACCTTTGGTTGGCTCAAAAAGGAGTGATGCTGGGATTAGCTATTTGTTGCTCGTGGTATGCTCTTCGCTAAGACTGTGTTGCCACTGTGAATGGATTAGATCCTTTCACCAGTTAGTCCTCCAGGGTCCTCAACATTATAAATAGAGACGATAATAATAATAGATATAATTAATGTAGGTTATTCAGACTAAAAGACAGAAAAAGGTAACGTAAAAGCAGACAGCTAATTAAATTTGAAGTTGATATATGCATATATATGCATATAATATCAATAATAATAAGCTTCACTGTAGTAGTTTGGGTGGTTAAGAAAGTAAGACACGATAGTGTATGAGATTTTAAGGCGAAAGGCCGTTTGGACTCAGTCCTTGTGTCGCTGCATGATTTTCCAGGCATCGATTAAGGCTGCCCACAGACGATGACGTAGCTACATCTACAGGTGGGGTATGCCAGGGACAGAGAACTCGCAGTAAAAAGAGCGCACTCGAGTCTTTGCCCCCTGGTGAGCTATATTCCATGGATTCCAACGAGGAAGCCCATACGTACTTAGTGGCAGAACACCTTTGTTTGGGTGATTCTGGTCACTCGTTATCTTATGGGCAGTAGTCAATTCCCCCTGAACAAGTGGTAGCTGAGTGTGAAAAGACGGAATTTCTTAAGCCATTCATTATATGATTTATTTCGGGAGCCCGTAACTCTTTTTTTCGACCTCCTTTGAACCATTGTGGAATCCGTAACAATGTGATTGCACAGTTTTTGTTAGATTTTGAAATTAGAGACACCATACACAGCGTTTGTTTAAAAAGATACATGTTTAATTGTATATAACTTCGGAGTGCCATCTAAAATACAGATTGCTGCTTGCCACTTCGTCTTCTCAATAGTCAACACTGTCAACTTGTTTCACTTCGAACCATGTTGTATACTTTGGATTTTGCAGGAACTTTTTTCCCCTTCAGCAGACTCTTCTACAACCAGTGCACAGCTTCTACCAGTAAAAACGACTCCAATAGTGAACACTATTGTGGATTACAGTGATATTTCTTGACAGTGGACTTTAACTGCACAACCAAGTAACAAACTAATTTGTACAACTCATTACTGTATTTTTATAATAGACATGCTCTGTTACTGAGGTCTGTAGAGATTCCCTTAAGCTCTTTCCAAAATATTTGCGCCTCTTTTAAGCCGTTGGGGTGCAGTGATATTGTGCAATTCAAGATGCGGTCATACGTATGTTTCGTATAACCCCGAAAGGAGCTCAGGCTTGAGTGC